TTAGTTGGGTGTGGTGGCATGCACCTGTAATCCCAACTACTCAGGAGGCTGAGGCAGGAGAATCACTTGAACCTGGGAGCTGGAGGTTGCAGTGAGCTGAGATCGAGCCACTGTACTACATCCTGGGCGATAGAGCAAGACTGTCTCAAAAAAAAAAAAAAAATTCAATGTAATTCACGAAATAAAAGAGAAAAAAGTGCATGTTTCAGCAGCACATATACTAAAATTGGAACGATGCAGAGAAGACATGCAAATTCATGAAGCAGTCCATATTTTTTTAAAGAGAGGAAAGATATATGATCACTTCAATATATCCAAACAAAAGCATTTAACAAAATTCAACATCTATTCATGATTAGGAAAATTCTCAAAAAGACTCCAGGCGATGTGAACAAAAATTTTGTTTACTTAATACAAATAAGTTATCACAGGTTTCACTATTACCTATTTTGTTAAAGTGTAAGTATTTTGTACTATACAGAATTAATGATTTTTTACATATGACTACTAGCATTTATGCCTAAAATTTTCCCTGAAGTTATTTTTTATTATCATATATTATTTATTCCCAGCAGTATTAAACTAGACCTCTTCCAGCAAAAACAGATTTAATTCAATATAAGCTCAGGGAAATGAAATGAATGTCCATTCTGAATGAGACTTGCACAAAATACTGAATACTAAACCAATAATGAGCTATCAATTTTGTAAATACGAAATGTCTTCTTAATCTGCTTCTAGGTTACAGTCATTCATTGAATAAACAAATTTCACTCTGTCGCCCAGGCTAGAGTGCAGTGGCGCGATCTCGACTCACTGCAACCTCTGCCTCCGGGGTTCAAGCGATTCTCCTGCCTCAGCCTCCCCAGTAGCTGGGATTACAGGCATGCACCACCACGCCTGGCTAATATTTTTGTATTTTCGCCTGGCTAATTTTTTTGTATTTTTGGTAGAGACAGGGTTTCACCATGTTGGCCAGACTAGTCTCGAACTCCTGACCTCACATGATCCACCCTCCTCAGCCTCCCAAAGTGCTGGGATTACAGGCATGAGCCATCACGCCCAGCCTGAATAAATATTTATTAAACACTGTTGTGAGCTAGGTGCTAAACATAGAAAGACCCCAGCCCTGCTTTCACAGACTAGTCTAGTAGCCCAGGACATAGAAAAATAAACAAATAATTACAACACTGAGTACTAAAGCGTTATCCAATAGAATTGTATACAAAGAGCTGTTGAAACAAGGATGAGAAACTGATTATGCTTGGAGGAACTGAGGAATTTCTTGATTTTCACCAACAATGGAAGCAAAGTGATTTACCAAGCAAAGCTTCCTTAATCTCTTAATGAACAAAAATTAAGCCCTTAGTGGCTTCTCAACTTACCAATAGTACTTTCCTTAGGCTACAACCACATAAAAACATTATGAATTTCACAGAGACGAGACAGGCTTTCAGTTTTGGAGATTAAAGCAGAAGTATTCTTTGGGAGTGGTTGAGGTTTTGATAATTGATAAAATTTCTAGTCTACGTCTCTACAACTCAAAGTTGTTTCTATAAGTTGTTTCTATGTGTTAGAGGTCATGAGAGCTGGAGTACTTTTTTGGGGGAATGTGTACTTTTTATGAATAAATTAGCTGCAGTTGTGACAAACTAGACAATGGTATGGTAGAAGAGTAGGATAGGGAGGTCTTATATATGGGCTTGAAGCAAGACAGTTCTGTATTCAAATTCTGGCCCTCCAACTTACTACTTTTGTAGTAGTGGGCAAATGAATTAGTTTCTTCTATATTCTATTTCCTCTTCTGCAAAACAGAAGTAGTAATGATTACCTTATAGAGTTATTGTGAAGGTTAAACAATATAATGCATGAAAACTGCCTGAGACAGTGCCTGCAACATGGCAAGTACTCCTGGAGTGGTGGCTGCTATAATCATTGTCACCATGGTAATGGTATAGGACGTTCAATATATTCTTTGTTTTATTGTTGTTGTTGTTATTATAGGGTGTGGTTTTGTTTTTTGTTTGTTTGTTTTTTGAGATGGAGTCTCGCTCTTGTCACCCAGCCTGGAGTGCAATGGCACGATCTTGGCTCACTGCAACCTCCGCCTTCCAGGTTCAAGTGATTCTCCTGCCCTCGACCTCGGCGAATAGCTGGGACTACAGGCACCCGCCACCGATAGCCCAGCTAATTTTTGTATTTTAGTAGAGATGGTGTTTACCATGTGTTGGCCAGCGCTGGTCTCTCGAACTCCTGACCTCAGGTGATCCGCCTGCCTTGGCCTCTCCAAAGAGTGCGGGATTAGGACGTGGGAGCTACCACACCCCCAGCGTATTATGGTGGTTTTGAGAACATAATTAACTTTCTTCTTCTAGACACCCCCAAAGGATGGTTTTGTAAACGCTGACGTTCAACTAGTTACAAGCAATTCTCCCCAGAGGAAAAACAGTCCCCTTTATCAAAGCTTTTCGGTCCTCTTCCTCTTAAGAAAGAAGAATAACTCAGGGCAGAAAGCACTTCCACCCCTGGTCGATCTTCTGATAAGCATCCAAACAAGATATACATGTCGTTTAATACCCTAGACAACTGTGACCCCTTGGGAGACTGTTGGCAAGGGTAAAGAAGCTCCATGCCTCGTCTCAACGGTCTTTGTTTTTAGAAATAATTTATTGGCATTTCAGTATATTGAAGAATGAAAAATAGAACTTACTGTGAAAATACAAAAGCTTCTTCAGTACCATAGAAGCCAAAAAAGTAACTAGCGAACAAGGTATACTAACCATTACATAAGCAAATTTGCTGCTATATGTTGTTACAGTATTGTTTGGCATTTTGTAACTAGTAATGATTAACATTGCTTCTCTATTTTTTTTTTTTTTTTTTTTTTGGAGACCATAGTCTCTACCGCTCGCCAGGCTGGAGTCAAGTGGGCAATCTTCAGCTTACTGCAACCTCGCACCTCCAAGGTTCAAGTGATCTTTCTCTGCTTTCAACCTCCAAGTACTGGGACTCACAGTGGCTGCTACACATGGCCCAGCTGAAATTTTTTGTATTTTTAGTAGAGAAACCAAGGGGTTTCACCCCAATGTTGACCCAAGGGGTTTGGTCCTGAACTCCTGACGCCAGTTGGATCCACATGCCTCCGGCCCCTCCCCACAGTGCCGGATCACAGGCATGAGCCCTGTGCCTGGGCCTTTTCGTAATATTATTAATATTAAATTCGCAATCCAGCACTCAAGGGTTCCAATTCTCAGCCATTATTCCTTTCCTGCTATTTGCTTAAACCTCCACCTTATTCTGATGGTAAGAAACCTGACACTCATTAGATTTACTGATTGTATTTTCTATATATATATATATGTATGTATGTATATACACTTATAAATAAATTCTGAAAGTAAAGCTGGGTAAGGTGGCATGTGTCTGTAATCCTAGCACTTTGGGAGGCCGAGGCAGGAGGATCACTGGAGCCTAGAAGTTTGAGATGAGCCTGGGCAACACAGCTAGACTCTATCTCAAAAAAAAAAAAAAAAGAGAGAGAGATAGAGAGATAGAAAGAGAGAAAGAAAACAAAGAAAAAATATTTTTGGTTCTTTGACAAACACACCAGAAATCTCTTCATGAGTATCTTTCAAACCTAGAAACATCCTGTCAGGAGCCAATAGGGCTCTAGTACAATATCTTAAGCTGAAAGTGACTCTTCAGCTCTCCCCAAAGATATGGAATATGTGAAACAGCCTTGGATCTTTGAGGTTTCCTGGTGGAGCTCCTTTGTTGTTTATTAAAATATTGTACTTGAAAGAAGAAGGCTGGGTGAGTGCAGGGATGGAGGTGCCTCTTTCTTGCTTAAATGTTCCCCTTAGTAAAAGGGCATTACCTTTCACTTCTAGATGAATTAAACACAAATCAAGGACCATTGGATTGGATTTGTCAAGGATTTAGGCCTTTTTAAAAAAGTGCTAAGCATTTTAAAAAATTATTATTATTTCTATTTTTTGTAGAATGGGATCTCATTATGTTGCCCAGGCTGGTCTCTAACTCCCAGACTGAAGTGATCAGACTCAAGTGAACCTCTCACCTCGCCCTCCCAAAGTGCTGGGATTACAGGCATGAGCCACCATGCCCGGCTAGTTGTTAGGTCTTCATAAGTTTTGGTGCCTACTGTTGGCATGATGGACAGCGCCAGCCCAGTATGAACCAGCACACAGGTACAAGAAAGGCTGAGGTATTACTCCACAGAGGTCCAATTTCAGAGGCACATAATTGAGATCCTGGGAATGGAGCAAGCCAGAGAGACTGAGCTGGAGTCAGGTTGGTGACAGAAAAATGAAGAGATAGTACAAAGATTAAACAAATGAAACGGAGCAACCCTGAAGCTCATTTCCCCAAGTAGACCTGACATCCCATACTTTTCACTCTCTTGATAGCATCTTTTAGGGCACAAAAGTTTTCAATTTTGATGAAATCCAATTTGTCTAAATTTTTGGTGTCATATCCAAGAAATCATTGCCAAATCCAATGTCATGGCAATTTTCCTGTACATTTTCTTCTAAGAGTTTTGTGTTTTAGTTCCGCGGTTGAGGTCTTTGATCCATTTTGAGTTAATTTTTGCATATGGTATAAAGTTGGGGTCCAACTTCATTGTTTTGCATGTAGATATCCCGTTTCCCCAGAATCATTGTTGAAAAGACTGTCCTTTGTCCCACTGAATAGTCTTAGATGAAAGTCAATAGACCATATATGTGAGTGTTTTAACTCTGGGCTCCTTATTCTATTCTGTTGTTCTCTATGTTGGTCTTTACACCAGTATGACACTGTTTTGATTATTGTAGCTCTCTAATAAATTTTAAAACCAGAAAGTGGGAGTCCCCCAATTTTGATCTTCTTTTTGGACATTTATGCAAATCACCCTTCTTTTTTGTTTTTTCTTTTTTTTTTTTTTTGAGACAGAGTCTTGCTCTGTCACCCAGACTGGAGTGCAGTGGCATGATCTCGGCTCACTGCAACCTCTGCCTCCTGGGTTCAAACCATTCTCCTCCTCAGCCTCCCTAGTAGCTGGGATTACAGGTGCTCACCACCACGCCCAGCTAATTTTCATATTTTTAGTAGGGACGGGGTTTCACCATGTTGGCCAGGCTGGTCTCGAACTCCTGACCTCTTGCTCTGCACACCTCAGCCTCCCAAAGTGCTGAGATTACAGGCATGAGCCATTGCACCTGGCCCATATCACCCTTCTTTATTGGGCCAAGGGAGCTGAGCTGAGAGGTTGGAGTGAACTCCCAGAAAGATCAGGCCAGGTGTGGTGGCAAATACCTGTAATCCCAGAACTTTCGGTGGCTGAGGCAGAAATATCATCTGAGTCTAGGAGTTTGAGACCAGCCTGGGCAACATAGTAAGAACCTGTCTCTATAAAAATAAAATAAAATTTGCCAAATGTGATGGTGGATGCCCGTAGTCCCAGCTACTCAGGAGGTTGAAATGGGAAGATTGCTTGAGCCCAGGAAGTGGAGGCTGCAGTGAGCCATGGTTGTGCCACTGCACTCCAGCCTGGGTGATGGAGCAAGACCTTGTCTCAAGAAAAAAAAAAAAAAAACAGAAGCCTACATAGCAATATACATGCATTTGATCTACATGTCACTTCAGCATTTTATTTTCTTTTGCTTTCTCCATAGATTTCCCCTCTGTCCTTTTTTTTTTTTTTTCCTTGCAATTTGTTATAGCTATCAGACCATTTATCCTGGAGAGCTTCTCACATTCTGGATTTTGTTGATTGCACCACCCACATGCATCTTAACAGGTTCTTCTGTCCCCTGTACCTGCCTATACTGAGAGTCAGACCTAGAGGCTTATATATATACTGAACAGGGATATGTACTTCCGTCACAACGCCCATCATTTCTGGTTGTCTCTCTTGTGTTGGTAGCCATGGATACTCATCGCCTAGATCTATTACATCAGGCAAACTTTTCCTGTAAATGGCAAGGCAGGAAATATTTTAGTCTTTGCAGGGCATATGGTCTCTGTCACAGCTGCTCAACTCTGCCATTGTAGCCTGAATATAGTAATAGATGATGTGCAAGAAATAAGCATGACTATGTTCCAATAAAACTTTACTTACAGAAACAGGTGGCAGACTGGCTTGAGCCTGTGGGCTGTGGTTGGAGGATCCTTACTTTATCCTAATACATACAGGAGTTTTAGAAAACAAATGCTAATATTAAAGCAAGTGATATGATTACTGAAAACAGTTTGACTTCCCTGTCTATGTTTTTATTTCTCAGATATATTCTATCAAGAATATTCAGACAAATTACTGCATTAAACTCACATGAAGTAACTCCTTTGTGTGTAGTAATGCCACCAACTCAATAGATAATATATATGTTTCATTTTGCTTTTCAGATTTTAGATATTTTTCAGTTCATTTTATTTTATGATTTTGAGAACAATTTAGATGGTTCCAAAATTAAATATACAAAATAAGCTATACTTGGAGAAATCTATCTTTTGGTCCCTGTTCCTCTGTATTACTTGTTCCTTTTTTTTCTTTTCTTTCTTTTTTCTTTTTTGTTTGATTTAGGGTCTCACTCTGTTGCCCAGGCTAGAGCACAGTAGCGTAGTCATGGCTAACTGCAGCCTGGACCTCCAGGGCTCAAACGATCCTCCCACCTTAGCCTTCTGAGTCACTGAAACTACAGGCATGCACCACCATGCCCAGCTAAATTTTTTAATTTTTTATAGAGATAGGGTCTCACCGTGTTGCCCAGGTGGGTCTCAAACTCCTGGACTCAAGTTATCCTTCCCCCTCGCTTTCCAAAGAGCTGGGGTTACGGACATGAGTCACCATACCCAGCTCACATTCCCTGTTTTTGATCAGTTCACATGGGAATCCTACTTGTAGGTAACTGTTTTTCATTTTATGGTTTGATCTTTCCATTTTATTTATTTATTTATTTATTTTTTGAGATGGAGTCTCACTCTGTCACCCAGGCTGAAGTACAGTGGTACGATCTCGGCTCACTGCAACCTCTGCTTCCTGGGTTCGAGTGATTCTCCTGCTTCAGCCTCCCAAGTAGCTGGGACTAGAGGTGTGTGCCACCACGCCTGGCTAATTTTTGTATTTTTAGTAGAGATGGGGTTTCACCATGTTGGCCAGGCTAGTCTCGAACTCCGGACCTCAGGTGATCCACCCGCCTTGGCCTCCCAAAGTGCTGGGATTACAGGCGTGAGCCACCCCACCTGGCCATAATCCTTCCATTTTAAAAAGTACAAGTAAATAAATATGCACAATATGTAGAGGCAGAGATCTTAATACCTTCTTGAAATGAATGGCAGCACACAGTACGTACCGTCTCATCCACCCTTCTTTCTTCATGTAACAGTATATCCTGGAGATCCTTCTACAGTTGAATATAGAAACATCCTACCTTCCTTTTGCAGTTCATAGTACTGCATTGTGGGGAGATACCAGAGTTGATTCAACTAGTTCTCTATTGATAGATATTTGGCTTATTTCCAGTTAAGTGGAGACAATCTTTTAAAGAATATAGAAACATCCTACCTTCCTTTTGCAGTTCATAGTACTGCATTGTGTGGAGATACCAGAGTTGATTCAACTAGTTCTCTATTGATAGATATTTGGCTTATTTCCAGTTAAGTGGAGACAATCTTTTAAATCACGGCAACAACAAACTCAAACAGACAAATAGCTATGCAAACCACCGAGTGTTAAAAAGATACTTTGTAATTTCCCCACTGCTTTCCAATTTACAGAAGAAAAAAAAGAAACGAAATGACCCCAGATTTCAGCCGACAGTCACATGATAAGAAAAATAAGTTGCAGGACAGAACTAGGCTAAGAAAAGCACAATCAATGGTAAGTATTGTTTATAAAAGATTCGTCACCATAACATTAATGAAAATCTCCAGATCTCTAATCCTATTTGCAAAATTGAATTCGTTTATTTAATCAGAATCATGGAGTGGTGATTAAATTCGGGTTTCTGACACTGACAGACAGAGAAGCCATGACCTTGAAGATACACTTTATTTAATCTCTCGGAGCCTCTGTTTTCTCATCTGTTTAAAAAAAAAAAAAAAGACTGGATGAACTGATGTGTATGAAATTGCTTTGAAAACTGTATGATATAAGGGGAGTATTTTTGTTTGTTTGTTTGTTTGTTTAAGACAGAGTCTTGCACTTGTTTCCCTGGCTGGAGTGCAATGGCGTGATTTCGACTCCCTGCAACCTCCGCCTCCTGGGTTCAAGTGATTCTCCTGCCTCAGCCTCCCAAGTAGCTGGGATTACAGGTGCCTCCACCATGCCAAGCTAATTTTTGTATTTTTAGTAGAGATGGAGTTTCTCCATGTTGGCCAAACTGGTCTCCAACTGCTGACCTTGGGTGATCCACCTGCCTCAGCCTCCCAAAGTGCTGGGATTACAGGCATGAGCCACCGTTCCTGGCCAAGGGAAGTATTTTTTTTTTTTTTTAATCAGTGGTTCTTTTTTCTGCCGAGTCCTTTGGGGCAGGGGGAGGTGCTATCAGAAATTGCTATCTCTAAGTGAAGGAAGGTTCCCCTGATCTAAGTGCATTTAGGCCAGGCATGGTGGCTCACGCCTTTAATCCCAGTACTTTGGGAGACTGAGGCAGGAGGATCACTTGAGGTCAGGAATTCAAGTGCAGTCTGGGCAACACGGCGAAACCCTGTCTCCACTAACAATACAAAAATTAGCTGGGTGTGGTGGCACATGCCTGTGGTGGGTGCGGGGGAAGCAGGAGGATGGCTTGAACCTAGGAGGCAGAGGTTATAGTCAGCCAAGATCGCACCACTGCACTCCAGGCTGAGCAACAGAGTGAGACTGTCTCAAAAAAAAAAAAAGAAAAGAAAAGAAAAAAAAGGAAAATGCATTTAAAGTAACTTTGGAAAACATGAATTAAGAACTTTTCCTTTCCTAATTAAAAAACAGCGAATTGACTACCTAATAAAGCCAGTAATTGTGACTAGGGAGCATTATCATTGCATAGCAGAATTTCCCAAATCGTGGCTCCGAAGCCCTGTGGATCTTTCAGCACATTATGCAAGTCTTTGGCACGAAGTAGAAAGGACTAAGGGTGAAATTAAAAGTTCATATATAGTAGTAAGGATTTAGAAAAGAGATGAAGATACACACTCAAGGAAAATTAATATAAAATGGATGTCAGCTGGGAGAGGAAAAAGTACGTACTCAGGAATAAATCACTTTTATAGCTCTGCTTTAAAGCTCTATTACTTTCTGTTTAAATGTATTTTCAAGTGTTATGTTGCAAAAAAAAAAAAAAAAAAAGCAGAGAGAGAGATGAGCTTCTTTAAACAGGGCCATCTGAATTCTGTAGGGCCAGTTTTGTTGGGCTGGATGAGGCTTATCATAGACATGTGTACTGATGCCCAAGGGAATGGGGGAGCTTAGAGCAAAGTAGTAAAATTGTCAGTGAAGCCATTAACTGAGAAAAATAACTTTATGAGGCTTATCACATGAGCCATTATGGCGTGCTTCTGCCTGGTCTCCAGGCCGTGATAGGCAAGGAGTGGAAGAGAAGTCCAAGGGAGAATGGGGAATTTGAAGGACAATAAAAATTGATGGTGATGCATGCTGAGAAATTATCAGCACAGTCAGACATTTCTCCTGCTTCGAAAACACAAAACCCAAAGCTAAGCCATCCCCATGGGCTTTTGACATTAACCATCTGTCAAACACTAGCAGGGCTTGCTTAAGTGAAAGCATTCATTATAAATTAAAAAGTTAAGAAGTTGTACTAATTAAGGCTGAAAGGGAAACCAGAGTACGTTAAGCAATGATGGAAGAATTAGCTCTTCGTGAACGGGGCTCTTAAGTGTGTCTGTCTATTCTTGTGTTTTTTTGTAAATATACTAATTATAATCACTATTTATGTTTTGTAGTTTTGATAAAGAGTATAAGGCATCATTAAATCCCCCAAAAAGTATGCTGTGATATATGACTCATGCCGGTGATGAGCTTGCCAAAGACAAGCTTGGCTGTTTGGGATACAAGGCGGGTGTGACTCAGTTCTCCTCTCCACAGGATAGTAGTTCGCCCTCATCGGCCTCCTAAGTGATGCAAGATGATTGTGAAAATGAAGAAATAGGCCGGGCGTGGTGGCTCATGCCTGTAATCCCAGCACTTTGGGAGGCCAAGGTGGGCGGATCACAAGGTCAGGAGATTGAGAGCATCCTGGCTAACACGGTGAAACCCTGTCTCTACTAAAAATACAAAAAAAAAATTAGCCGGGCGTGGTGGCGCGCGCCTGTAATCCCAGCTACTCAGGAGGCTGAGGCAGGAGAATTGCTTGAACCCGGGAGACAGAGGTTGCAGTGAGCCAAAATCACACTACTGCACTCCAGCCTGGGTGACAGAGCGAGACTACGTCTCAAAAAAAAAAAAAAAAAAAGAAGAAGAAGAAGAGAAGAGGAAATGGGTACTGAGGAAATCCAATCAGGGGAACAAAGGAAAGTGAGGGTAAAACTCTGGCAACTGCAGCCACAGAGTGAATTTGTTACGCCAGACATAGCCCAGGTGTGATTCCAGTGCAGAAAATCATGTATTCATTTGATATGTGAATGTTACCAGAAAGGGGTCTGGATCTAGACCCCAAAAGAGAGTTCTTGGATCTTGTGCAAGTTCGTAAAGTGAAAGCAAGTTTCTTAAGAAAGTAAAGAAATAAAAGAATGGCTACCCCATAGAGCAGCTCCGAGGGCTGCTGGTTGCCGATTTTTATGGCTATTTCTCGATTATATGCTAAACAAGGAGTGGATTATTCATGCCTCCCCCTTTTAGACCATATAGGATAATTTTCTGACGTTGCCATGGCATTTGTAAACTGTCATGGCGCTAATGGGAGTGTAGCAGTGAGGATGACCACAGGTCACTCATGTCGCCATCTTGGTTTTGGTAGGTTTTGGCCGGCTTTTTTATTGCAACGTGTTTTATCATTAAGGTCTTTATGACCTGTATCTTGTGCTGACCGCCTGTCTCATCCTGTGACTTAGAATGCCTTAACCATCTGGGAATGCAGCCCAGTAGGTTTCAGCCTCATTTTACCCAGCCCCCCTTCAAGATGGAGTTGCTCTGGTTCAAACACCTCTGACAGAAGGTTCCCCCATCATTTAGACAGGTTTATGGAGGAAGATTTCAGGAGGACCTAGAGAAGTGGGTGAGCAGGACAAACTTAGGGGAGCACCTTCTAAAGACAAAGATGAAAGTGACATATCTCCAAACCCTGACCCTCAAACCTAGGAGGTTACCTGAGACCTGAACACTTGAAGATTCCTCGCTCCTATTATCAGGAAAGAGGCTTTGTTAAATGGAAAGGGCAGGAAGAGAGAAGATAATGGGAGAATAAAAGAGGACACGTGGCCGGGGGGCAGTGGCTCATACCTGTCATCCCAGCACTTTGGGAGGCCGAGATGGGAGAATAATTGAGGCCAGGAGTTTGAGACCAGCCTGGGCAACACAGCAAGATCCCATCTCTACAATAAAACGTTTTTGAATTAGCTAGGCATGGCAGGGGCATGCACCTGTAGTTCCAGCTACTCTGGAGGCTGAGGTGGGAGGATCACTTGAGCCCGGGAGTTTGAAGCTGTAGTGAGCCATGATCTCACCACTGCACTCCAGTCTGGGTGACAGAGTGAGACCCTATCTTAAAAAAAAAAAAAGTACAGGTAATATTCCTTAGTTCATCTCTCTGGGGATGTGGCTCTCAGATCACTGACACCAGCCTCCCTTTTCGTGTATCATTACTTAAGCCTACAGATGTGAGTGCTCTCTCCAAAAACACAACCATACTTGGGGAAATGGTTTCACATCTTCCACATGTTGCGGTGAGCTTGTCATGTTTCCTATTCGATGAGTTTGAGTTTTCAAAGCCCGCCCCCTTGCAAGTGTACCTGATTTGCTCTTCTGCTTTTGATTCTAAAGCGGACCCCAAGTGCTGCCTTAGAACCACTTAGTCTAACCATTTTTTGGGGTGAATGGTTGATGAACGATGGGCTGGGCAAGGTGGCTTACACGTGTAATCCCAGAACTTTGGGAGGCTGAAGCAGGAGGATCACCTGAGGTCAGGTGGCCAACCTGGTGAAACCCCGTCTCTACTAAAAATACAAAAATTAGCTGGGTGTGGTGGTGGGCACCTGTAATCTTAGCTACTTGGGAGGCTGGGGCAAGAGAATCACTTGAACCCAGGAGGCAGAGGTTACAGTGACTTGAGATCGCACCATTGTGCTCCAGCCAAGGTGACAGAGCAAGACTCTGTCTCAAAAAAAAGAAAAAAGATGGGAATAAAGCTTAGACCTGATTGCTAATCCTTTACAGTTTTGAAGGCTCCTTATGAAAATTATGTAAATGTCAAGACACTCCCATTACAATTAGTTATGAGAACAAGATTCCATATAAAACAAAGCAATTAAAAATATAAACTCCGGCCGGGCACAGTGGCTCATGCCTGTAATCCCAACACTTTGAGAGGCCGAGGAGGGCGGATCACGAAGTCAGGAGATGGAGACTGGCCTGGTCAACATGGTGAAACCCCATCTCTACTAAAAATACAAAAGTTAGGCATGGTGGTGCATGCCTGTAATCCCAGCTACTTGGGAGGCCGAGATCACACCACTGCACTCCAGCCTGGGTGACAGAGCAAGACTGTCTCAAAAAAAAAAACAATATATATATACACACACATACACACATACACACACATACTGTGGAGTTTATATATATATGTGTGTGTATATATATGTGTGTGTATATATATAAATTCCACAGTGTGTGTATATATATGTATATATACATATATATATATAAACTCCACAGTAGTCAGATAC